AATTATAATTTATGATTTCGTGTTTCAAGTTTTATCCTACCCGGGATGTTTACTAGACTCTTGTTCGGACAGATTTCAGTGAGTTATTCCTAAGAATTACAGGCCTACAATATAAAACGCCAAAATTTCCATGCAAAATAATGGTACCGCTTTCAGCACCAAAAATCTGAAATAATCATACCGCCAGGGAAGTTAAGGAAGGAAGGCAGCAAATGTTGTACATGCTGGTTACAGTGCATTTCTCTCTGAAATTCTGAGGAAAATGGGTCGTTCCAGACATTGTTCAGAAGAACAGCGTACCTTGATTAAAAAGTTGATTGGAGAGGGGAAAACATATAAAGAAGTGCAGAAAATGATAGGCTGCTCAGCTAAAATGATCGCAAATGCTTTAAAATGGCAACCAAAACCTGAAAGACGTGGAAGAAAGCAAAAAAAAACTACCATTGGAATGGATAGAAGAATAGCCAAAATGGCAAGGGACTCAGCCAACAATCAGCTCCAGGAAGATGAAAGAAGGTGTAAAGTTCCCTGTGAGGACTGTTACAATTAGAAGACGCCTATGTGAAGCCAAGCTATCTGCAAGAAGCCCCCGCAAAGTCCCACTGTTGAAAAAAAGACGTGTGCTGAAGAGGTTACAATTTGCCAAAGAGCACATTGACTGGCCTAAGAGAAATGGCGCAACATTTTGTGGACTGATGAAAGTAAGATTGTTCTTTTTGGGTCTAGTGGCCGGAGACAGTTTGTCAGACGACCCCCAAACACTGAATTCAAGCCACAGTACACTGTGAAGACAGTGAAGCATGGTGGTGCAAGCATCATGATATGGGGATGTTTCTCATACTACGGTGTTGGGCCTATTCATCACATACCAGGGATCATGGATCAGTTTGAATACATCAGAATACTTGAAGAGGTCATGCTGCCTTATGCTGAAGAGGAAATGCCCTTGAAATGGGTGTTCCAACAAGACAATGACCCCAAACACACCAGTAAACGTGCAACATCTTGGTTCCAGACCAACAAGATTGACGTTATGGAGTGGCCAGCCCAATCCCCGGATCTTAATCCAATAGAAAACTTGTGGGGTGACATCAAAAATGCCGTTTCTGGGGCAAAACCAAGAAATAGAGAAGAACTGTGGAATGTAGTCCAATCATCCTGGGCTGGAATACCTGATCACAGGGGCCAGAAGTTGGGTGACTCCATGCAACACAGATGTACAGCAGTTCTCAGAAACAGTGCGACTACAACCAAATATTCATTAAGTCATTCAAAGGAAAGCAAAATCTTCAAACATTTCTCAGTTTATATAGTGAATGTTTGAGTTTGTAAAGAAGAATACAAACACTGCTAGTTTTTTCAACACAACTGTATAGTCCTGTGCTCTTCCCTTTTGTACACAGAAACATAATCAAAAGTTTGGAGGCCAATGAGAAAGAACCCTTGATGTACTGTCACAGGACCATTTGAGCAACTGAACTCTGTCATGTGAGGGGCCCTCTTGTGGTAAGATTTGAGTATACCAAACTCAGAAAGAGAATTTGTAGACCAGTTTTATTAGAAATCAATAAATGTTTTCCAAGGCAGAAGTAACACGCATGCATTGCATAAATAAGGAGATCTACATGGAGTACATAATGGATGGATTCAAATGAAGGTCTGCTGAGAAAATGACAGGTACACTTTACTATAGGGACGGTATGGATATACATAGGATTATGCCATCACATCTGCATTACTGATGTCCACCCACCACTGGGAGAAAATCCACAGGGGACCCTACATACCATGTGACCAGACTGAAGACAAATGGAACAAAAAACAACTGTGGTGACCAATGGGGAAAGGGGGGGGGGGGGGGGGTGCTAGCTATTGGTATATGGAAGGGGCGGGTGCTGGCTACTGGTGGATGGGAGGGGCGGGTGCTGGCTGTTGGTGGATGGGAGGGGCGGGTGCTGGCTACTGGTGGATGGGAGGGGCGGGTTGCTGGCTGTTGGTGGATGGGAGGGGCGGGTGCTGGCTGTTGGTGGATGGGAGGGGCGGGTGCTGGCTGTTGGTGGATGGGAGGGGCGGGTGCTGGCTGTTGGTGGATGGGAGGGGCGGGTGCTGGCTGTTGGTGGATGGGAGGGGCGGGTGCTGGCTGTTGGTGGATGGAGGGGCGGGTGCTGGCTGTTGGTGGATGGGAGGGGCGGGTGCTGGCTGTTGGTGGATGGGAGGGGCGGGTGCTGGCTGTTGGTGGATGGGAGGGGCGGGTGCTGGCTGTTGGTGGATGGGAGGGGCGGGTGCTGGCTGTTGGTGGATGGGAGGGGCGGGTGCTGGCTGTTGGTGGATGGGAGGGGGGGTGCTGGCTGTTGGTGGATGGGAGGGGCGGGTGCTGGCTGTTGGTGGATGGGAGGGGCGGGTGCTGGCTGTTGGTGGATGGGAGGGGCGGGTGCTGGCTGTTGGTGGATGGGAGGGGCGGGTGCTGGCTGTTGGTGGATGGGAGGGGCGGGTGCTGGCTGTTGGTGGATGGGAGGGGCGGGTGCTGGCTGTTGGTGGATGGGAGGGGCGGGTGCTGGCTGTTGGTGGATGGGAGGGGCGGGTGCTGGCTGTTGGTGGATGGGAGGGGCGGGTGCTGGCTGTTGGTGGATGGGAGGGGCGGGTGCTGGCTGTTGGTGGATGGGAGGGGCGGGTGCTGGCTGTTGGTGGATGGGAGGCTGGGTCCCTACAATACAAATGAACCTGTTGCCCAAAATGGAAGTACATATTCCCTGTAAAATGCAGGACTTAAAGGGTCAGCACGCTCAAAAGTGATATTTCGGTTTTAATTGGGGTGTGGAGAGCAGAACTCAAACAGTGAGATCCCCCCTTTGTAATTCCTGGCTCTGTTCCTGTTCACCTGGGAGGCTTGGGTGGTCTTGTCCACGCTGCAGTGTTGGGGCTTTTCCTGGTACATTTTCTGGAATGTAAAAATCAGTCCCCTTCTAATGGGCACAGCAGGTGTACAGACGCAGGAATGCAGGACAGGGATGGTGGGAACCCCTCATACCGGGCACAGCACGTGTACAGACCCAGGAACTCAGCACAGAGATGGTGGGAACCCCTCTTACTGTGCACAGCAGAAGTACAGACCCAGGAACTCAGCACAGGGATGGTGGGAACCCCTCTTACTGTGCACAGCATGTGTACAGACCCAGGAACTCAGCACAGGGATGGTGGGAACCCCTCTTGTGCACTGTGCACAGCAGAAGTACAGACCCAGGAACTCAGCACAGGCATGGTCGGAACCCCTCATTATGGGCACAGCAGGTGTGCAGACCCGGGAACTCAGCACAGGGATGGTGGGAAACCCCTCATTATGGGCACAGCAGGTGTACAGACCCAGGTACTCTGCACAGGAATGGTGGGAACCCCTCATAACAAGCACAGCAGGTTTACAGACCCGGGAACTCAGCACAGGGATGGTGGGAACCACTCATAATGGGCACAGCATGTGTACAGACCCGGAAACTCAGCACAGGGATGGTGGGAACCCCTCATAATGGGTACAAAAGGTGTGGAGACACAGGAACTCTGCACAGGAATGGTGGGAACCCCTCATAACAACCACAGCATGTGTACAGACCCGGGAACTCAGCACAGGGATGGTGGGAAACCCCTCATAATGGGCACGGCAGGTGTGGAGACCCAGGAACTCAGCACAGGGATGGTGGGAACCCCTCATAATGGGCACAGCATGTGTACAGACCTGGGAACTCAGCACAGGGATGGTGGGAACCACTCATAATGGGTACAAAAGGTGTGGAGACCCAGGAACTCTGCAGAGGAATGGTGGGAACCCCTCATAACAAGCACAGCAGGTGTACAGACCCGGGAACTCAGCACAGGGATGGTGGGAACCCCTCTTAATGGGCACAGCATGTGTACAGACCCGGGAACTCAGCACAGGGATGGTGGGAACCCCTCACAATGGGCACAACAGGTGTACAGACCAGGGATCTCACCATTTAGAGTTTCCAAGACAGTCATGTGGTTTGACTCTCCAGTATCCACCAAACACTCAAATATCAATTTTGGATGGACTAACCCTTTATTGCGAACCTCCCTCAACGTGCCTGTTTGAGAAGCCTCAGGTTGAAGCTGCTCTGCTCTGACTCCCTGCCCGCAGAGAAGTCCTATGCAGCAACTCCCATAGTGAAGCTGAAATGGTCTGTGAGGCCTGGGAGGTTGAGTGTGGTCCCTTCTGCCTCAGGCTTCTCACACAGGTGTACTGCTCATGATATATACTTTCACATTGATTACAGAAGATGACCCAAAGCTGTGGTCACACTGCACCCAACAAGTCCAATATGACAACATGCATCCTAATAAATCTTTAGTAAATCAAGTGCTACTTGGCCATGGCCTAGGAGTAAACCACTTGGCCGTGGCCTAGGAGTGGCCTAGGAAAACCACTTGGCCGTGGCCTAGGAGTAAACACTTGGCCGTGGCCTAGGAGTAAGCCACTTGGCCGTGGCCTAGGAGTAAACCACTTGGCCGTGGCCTAGGAGTAAACCACTTGGCCGTGGCCTAGGAGTAAACCACTTGGCCGTGGCCTAGGAGTAAACCACTTGGCCGTGGCCTAGGAGTAAACCACTTGGCCGTGGCCTAGGAGTAAACCACTTGGCCGTGGCCTAGGAGTAAACCACTTGGCCGTGGCCTAGGAGTAAACCACTTGGCCGTGGGCCTAGGAGTAAGCCACTTGGCCGTGGCCTAGGAGTAAACCACTTGGCCGTGGCCTAGGAGTAAACCACTTGGCCGTGGCCTAGGAGTAAACCACTTGGCCGTGGCCTAGGAGTTAACCACTTGGCCGTGGCCTAGGAGTAAACCACTTGGCCGTGGCCTAGGAGTAAACCACTTGGCCGTGGCCTAGGAGTAAACCACTTGGCCGTGGCCTAGGAGTAAACCACTTGGCCGTGGCCTAGGAGTAAACCACTGGGCCGTGGCCTAAGAGTAAACCACTTGGCTTGTCTATCGTCTAACTACTGCTCTACAAGAATGGCACCTGGTATAATGTGAGGTGGGACGGCCTGCTCACTGACTTCATGCGTCTTCACGTGGACCTTCAACTGATAGTTGATACTGAAGCTGCGCGGGCAGCGGCTACATTTGTATGGCCGCTCCCCACTGTGGCCCCGGAGGTGGATTTTTAGTGTGTAGGCCTTGGTAAAGCTTTTCTCACACACCGCACACTTGTATGGCCTTGCCCCTAAGTGGTTCCTTCGATGCTCGACGAAAGAGGAGCAGTCACTGAATGTCCGCTCGCATTGGCTGCATCTGTAAGGCCTCTCGCCGGTGTGAATCCGTCTGTGCACGGTGAGGTGGGACTTCTCTCGGAAACTCTTGCTACAGACGGTGCAGAGGTAGGGCTTGGCGCCCGAGTGGATGCGCTGATGACGCACCATGGAAGAGTAGTCACTGAAGCTCTTGGCACACTCGGTGCACTGGTAAGGCCGCTCTCCAGAGTGAGTCCTCTTGTGGACACGGAGGTGGGACATGACGCTGAAGCTCTTTGGGCACTCTGAACACTGGTAAGGGCGCTCTCCGCTGTGAATGCGCTTGTGTACGGTCAGCAGGTTGTTCTTGGAGAAGGCTTTGTGGCATTCATCGCACTGGTAAGGCTTTTCTCCTGAGTGGACTCTGAGATGGACCTTCAGGCTGTATGACTTGCTGAAGCTCTTCTCACACACCTCACACTTGTGGACTTTCTCTGCCAGGACCGTGGGCTTGGCTCTCTGGAACCGGCTGGCCTCATGCGCCCACTCCTCATGTGTGGTCTGGTGGATCTTCAGCTGAATGTTCTGCGAGAAACACTTGCCACACTTTGGACACTGATAAGGCTTCTCACCTGAGTGAATCCTCTGGTGGACCTTCAGATTGTACGATTTGGTGAAGCTCTTCTGGCATACGTCACAAACATGGCTGCCTTTGGTGGCGAGGATGGGCAGCAAACAGGAGGGGTCTTGCTGGAGCAGCAGTTTCACTTCCTTCAGCCTTCGGTCCAGCCGGTTGTGATGGTCCTGGCGGTGCTGTTTCAGGGTCAGTTTGTCGGGAAAAGGGCTGTTGCATTCCGGACATTTGTAAGGGTTTTCTTCTGTGTGTAACCTGCGGTGGGATTTCAGGTAGTCGCCTCGAGAGAAACCCTTACCGCAGTCCTGGCAGAGGAACGGCTTTTTTGTGGCGTGAACCCGCATGTGGCTCCACAAAAGGGAACAGCTGGGAAAGGCTTTCTTGCAAATTTTGCAGAGGTGTAATAAATCAGATCTTCCCACATTAACGTCATAATTCTCAAAAGGTTCAAGAAGGATGGAAGCTGAATTTCTTTTTATTGAGAACTTCTTCTGGGACAGACCGTTCGATGAAGAGACCCGAACCAGCTGTGAATATTCCCCTTCTTTTTTTATCTGCCTGGGCACCTCGTTAACATACAAACATGTCTTTGTTACCCTCCTTGGCTTATTGTGAGCTTTGGTGAGGAGCTTTGGTGGTGATGTGTGTTCTCTCTTCATGGTTGGTGTATCGTGGAAGTCACCGATCACTAACTTGTCACCGTTCATACAATCTGCAGGAAAAAAGTACTGTCAGTAACTCATCACAACTGTTCAATTTATCATGGAATGACCCTTTAACCACTTGCCATCCGGCCGCTGTATATAAACGGCTGGACGGTGGCAGTCCAGGGGCGGGTTGCTGTTCATAAACGGCCCCCGCATTTTCAAGCTGTGCACACTCCCTGGAGGGCACGCAACACCGCGATCCGGTGCCTGCTGTGTCCTCCGGAGTCAGTGGAACACCGATCGTCGTACGGGACCTACGTCCAATCAGTGATCACATGCAGAGTCCAATCAGTGATCACATGCAGAGTAGTAAGCAAGATGTCACTTCTGCCAACATTGCTTACTACGTGTGAAATCTGTGAATGATCACAGAGGTCACATGGTACAAGGCTATTCACAACAACCTTGTACCATGTGACAAGCTGTGACCAATCACAGCTCACACAGTATTTCTCAATGGCTGCAAGAATGCAGCCAGAGAGAAGGAGAAATTATTGCTTTTACAGCCTTTATGGGTGTAAAAGCAATCAGTGTAAAAAAAAAAAAATCTTCATCACCCCCCACATGTAGTACAGTGTCACTATGGTGATTCTGTACTGCTAGGGTGAGAGTATGTTAAAAAAAAATAAAATAATAATAATAATAATAATATAGTAAAATAAAAATGTTAAATTTTTTTTAAAAAATATAATTTTTGGTTATAAACTAATTTGGGTTATTATTTTTTTTTTACTAAAAAGATAACAGAAAACATTTTGGCCACGATTTATGATGAAATATTATTTATTTGCAAAATTTTATAAGAAAAAACACTTTTTTTCAAAATTTGTGGACTTTTTCATTTATATAGCAAAATAAATAAAAATCCCATTTGGTGAATAAATACCACCAAAATAAAGCTTTATCTGTCTGAAAGAAATGCTAAAAAATTCATATGGGTACAGAAGGGGGTAAAAGTGTCCGGACTTGAAGTGGTTAACATAACAGCCTCGGCTTTGTGCTATTTTGGGGGGGGGGGTGTTGCTTCCCTCCAATCAGATCTCAGACCTCTCCTCACTGAGCTCTGCAGAGTGTAATTTGAGCTCTCCTCCTTTTCTCCTAACACTCAGATAAGCTTTATATATTCAGAACTTTGAATAGATGTACAGAAGAGAATGCTCTGCAGATAAACGGGTACAACTTATGTAGGAGGATTTGTTTTTTCTCTGTGTATCACCTGAGGACAGTCACTTCATTGGTAAATCTAAGGGCATACAACCACTTAAACCTCTGCAGAGCGGTCGCACATTTGCGCTCTATTAAAAAAGGACATATGTGCCGAGAGCGCAGCACAGCTCACACAGTATTTCTCAATGGCTGCAAGAATGCAGCCAGAGAGAAGGAGAAATGATTGCTTTTACAGCCTTTATGGGTGTATAGTTACATATTTAGTCTGGCTGAATAAAGACCATCCAGTTCAACCATAGGAAAAAACAAAAAGGTATAATCCTACACCCACAGTTGATCCAGAGGAAGGCAAAAAAAAAAACTTGCAAAGCATGATCCAATTTGTTCCTCCAGGGAAAAAAAATTCCTTCCTGATCCCCCGAGAGGCAATCAGATATTCCCTGGATCAACTTTACCTATAAATGTTAGTAAATGGTGTAAAATCAATCAGATTAAAAAAAAAAATCTTCTGACATCATTGCTTACTACGTGTGAAATCTGTGAATGATCACAGAGGTCACATGGTACATGTGACCTCTGTATCATTGTATTCACAACAACCATGTGACAAGGTGTGACCAATCACAGCTCTCACAGTATTTCTAAATGGATGCAAGAATGCAGCCAGAGAGAAGGAGAAATGATTGCTTTTACAGCCTTTATGGGTAAAAAAGCAATCAGTGTAAAAAAAAAAAAAAAAAATCTTCATCACCCCCCACAAGTAGTACAGTGTCACCATGGTTAGGGTGACAGTATGTAAAAAAAAAAAAATCCATAAATAATATAAAAAAAAAATAAAAATGTAAAACAATTTTTATAAATTATAATTTTTGGTTATAAACTAATTTGGGTTATTTTTTTTTACTAAAAAGTAAATGGAATAAATTTTGGCCAAGATTTATGATGAAATATTTAGTTGCAAAATTTTATAAGAAAAACACTTTTTCAAAATTTTTGGACTTTTTCATTTATATAGCAAAAAAAAAAATAAAAATCCCAGCGGTGAATAAATACCACCAAAATAAAGTTTTATCTGTCTCAAAAATATGCTAAAAAATTCATATGGGTACAGTGTTGCATGACCGCGTAATTGTCAAAGTGTGATAGCACTGAAAGCTGAAAATTGGCCTGGCCAGGAAGGGGGTAAAAGTGTCCGGAATTGAAGTGGTTAATATAATCAGAAATAAAGCTGATCTCTAGGCTCTCCCGATCACCCTGGAACCCCTCTAACCGATCGTTGGCCCTTTTCACTCATCTAAAGCTGCAGTCACGTGACTCTCCAATCCTGAATCGTTACTCAGGACTAGAGAATCTAGTTTACAGGAGGTGGTGTCCTTCTTCAGATGTCTATGTCACTGCCTATGTGACGTGGACGCTTCCTATTGGTTATCCAGTGGAGAGGTTCTTTCGGGATCAGAAGAGGAGGGGCGTCAGCACAAGAAGCCTCTTGAGGTGCAGACTAGGTGGGCACACCCGCAGAGCTGGTATCCCCAGAAATGGCATCGGTGAGGGACCTGGATGGTCTTTCTTCCAAAGACAAGGAAAATAAACGCAGGATAGGTTAGAGGGGGCTTGGAAAAAGTGAGTGGGGTGGGTTAAAAGTTGCCTGAAGATGGGCTTTTATAATATTTTACTAAATCCCTTCACGCCGGCGCCTCCTGGCCCTTTAAGAGTTTAAGAAGCCGGGAGGTGGGGCGGGGGTTTAGGGTCATGTGACCGCCGTGACGCGCCGTCACATAAATCGGGAAAGGTCCCGATCGAAAGAGGAGATCGGGACCTTTCCGTGAGTACTGGACATGTGTGCTGGGAGCACGCAGGGCGTGCGCTCTCGGCACATATGTCCTTTTTTAATAGAGCGCAAATGTGCGGCAGCTCTGTGTCTAGGCCCAGACGCCGGGAGGCCGCACATTTGCGTGCGGCCGGTGTGAACAGGTTAAAGTGGTTGTATGCCCTTAGATTTACCCAGTGAAGTGACTGTCCTCAGGTGATACACAGAGGAAAAACAAATCCTCCTACATAAGTTGTACCCGTTTATCTGCATCTATTCAAAGTTCTGAATATATAAAGCTTATCTGAGTGTTAGGAAAAAAGGAAGAGAGCTCAAATTACACTCTGCAGAGCTCAGTGAGGAGAGGTCTGAGATCTGGCTGTAGGGAAGCAACACCCCCCCCCCCCCAAAAAAAATAGCACAAAGCCGAGGCTTTTATGTTAACCACTTCAAGTCCGGACACTTTTACCCCCTTCTGTACCCATATGAATTTTTTAGCATTTTTTTCAGACAGATAAAACTTTATATTGGTGGTATTTATTCACCAAATGGGATTTTTATAAAATTTTGCAAATAAATAATATTTCATCATAAATCGTGGCCAAAATGTTTTCTGTTATCTTTCTGTAAAAAAAAATAATAACCCAAATTAGTTTATAACAAAAAATTATATATTTAAAAAAAAAAAAAAATGTAACATTTTTATTTTACTATATTTTTACCGTATTTTCCGGCGTATAAGATGACTTTTCAACCCCTGAAAATCTTCTGAAAAGTCGGGGGTCGTCTTATACGCCGGTGCGAGCCGGTGTCAGGGCGGCACTTTTTCGAGGGGCGGCACGGCACCGCCCCCCCTCCTCCTCCAACGGACACTAAGTACAGGGGTGGGCAGAGGGGCTGCTGTACCTTACCTGGCTCCGGTCCCACGTCGATCCGGTCCAGGAAGCGCGGCTGCTCCTTCTTTCAGTTCGGCCGCTCGATGGTCACGCGGCCGCTCGGTTCCGCCTCCTCACCGGTGATTGGGCGCCAGCACTGGAAAGGCACACAGGCGACCAATCACCGGCGAGGAGGCGGAGCCAAGCGGCCCCGCGAAAATCGAGCGGCCAAACTGGAAGAAGGAGCAGCCGCTCCCCCCCCCCACTGACACTAACGATGGGGCACTATTTCTCCCCCACTGACACCAACGATGAGGCACTGTTCTCCCCACTGATACCAATGATGGGGCACTATTCCTCCTCCCCACTGACACCAATGATGGGGCACTATTCTCCCCACTGATACCAATGATGGGGCACTATTCCTCCCACTGATACCAATGATGGGGCACTATTCTCCCCACTGATACCAATGATGGGGCGCAATTCCTCCCACTGACACCAATGATGGGGCGCAATTCCTCCCACTGATACCAATGATGGGGTGCTATTCCTCCCACTGACATCAATGATGGGGCGCAATTCCTGCCACTGATACCAATGATGGGGCGCTATTCCTCCCACTGACACCAATGATGGGGCGCAATTCCTGCCACTGATACCAATGATGGGGCGCTATTCCTCCCACTGACACCAATGATGGGGCGCTATTCCTCCCACTGACACCAATGATGGGGCGCTATTCCTCCCACTGACACCAATGATGGGGCGCTATTCCTCCCACTGAC